TGTATTGATTTGCATATGTTGAATCATACCTGCATCTGTCATATAAATCCTACTTAGTTATGATGTGTTGCCTTATTGATAATTTGCTGCATTCTGTTTTCTAGTATTTTATCGAGAATTTTATTATTTATGCTCATTAAAAAATTGACTTTTAGTTCTCTTTTTTGGTTGGATCCTTCTCTGATTTTGGCATCAGGATAACGTGTACTTTGAAGAATGAGTTTGTGAGTATTGCTTTCCTTTCAGTTTTGTTTAAGGCATTGAGAACAGTGGCATTTCAAGATGTTGATTTCTTGTAGAATTTGTCAGTAAATCTGTCAATTTAGGCTTTTCTTTGTTGATAGTTTTTAAATTACACCTTCAATTTCATTGATTAATATTGAGTTATTTAGAATTTTTATATCTTCTGGATTCACTTTTGGGACTTTGTGTGTATTTAGGAACCTGTACATTTCTTCTGAGTCTTTATCTTATTCAAATACAGATTGTTAAAGTAGGTACTGATGATCTCTTTGATTACTGAAGGATGCATTGTGATTTCATCCATTTCATTTTTAATTGTGTTGATTTACATGTCTTCTTTCCTTTTGATCATTTTGACTAAGGATTTGTCAATTTTATTTAATCTTTCAAAAATCTATCTGTTTAATTCATAGATAGCTTGTTTTGTTTTCTTTGCCTCAATTGTATTAATTTTTGTCCTGATCTTTGTAATTTCCTTCCTTGTTTGAGCTATAGGTTTAACTTCATTTCTTTTTCCAGAAGTTTGAGCTTCAAAATTAGTTTTGTTATTTGAGCTTGCTCTAGTTTTCTGATGTAGAAATTCACCACTATAAATTTCTCTCATAGGGCTACTTTGATTGTGCCCATAAGCTCCAATATATTGCATTGGCAGTATCTTTTAAATGTAGATATTGTCTAATTTTTACTGTGACCCATTGGTGGTTCAAGAAGGTATTATTTAATTTATGCGTTCTTATTTAGTTTTTATGGTCTCTTTTGCCATTTATTTCCAATATAATTGCACTATGATTTCATAATACACATGGTATTGTTGCAATACCCTTGCATTTACCTAGCATATTTTATGGGTTAGTATGTGGTATATTTTTCAGAAAGTCTTGTGTGCTGCTGAGATGAAATATGTATTGTGTTGTTGATGGGACACTGTATATATTCAGTAAGTGCATTCATTCAGAGGTTTTGTTCAACTTTGATATTTCTTTATTGACTTCTGTCTAGTCGATCTACTTATGGCAATGGGATGTTAAGGTCCTCTTTACAATTGTAATAATGATTATCTGATTATTCATGCTCGTGGTATTTTCTTTCTATATAGTTGAGTGACTAGTATTTGCTGAATAGATATTTATGATTGTGGTGTCTTCCTCTTGGATTGTTTCCTTTAACAAGTATGTAGTGAAATTCTTTGTCACTTAGGATCAGCTTTGGTTCGAAATCTACTTTGTGTGCAAACAGAATAGCAACCCTTAGGGTTTTTTTCTTGCTCCTGTTGCATAGCATTTTGTTTTCCATTCTTTGAATTTCAGACTATGAATTTCTTTTTGAGTTATATGTGTTTCTTGTAAGCAGTATATTTTTGAATCTTGCATCCTGATCAGTTCTGCCAATTTGTTTCTTTTGATTGGTGAATTGAGGCCATTCGCATTAATGGTTATAACTGAAAGTTATTTACTTGTCATTGTCATGTTATTTTTCTGTTGTTGTCTACCTTTCTTTCTCTTCTTTTTAATTGCTTTCTTTATTTGGTGGATTCATTCTATTTGGATTCTTGGAGTTGTCTTTTTCTAGAATATCTTTTAGCATGTTTGATTTGATGGTTTGAAGGCTCTGGTGTTATCATGGAAGTATATAATTACTCCATCAATTTTGAAGAATTAATTTACAGAGTACATCAAGCTGGGCTGCATGCTGTTTTCTTTCAGTGCTTGAAATACTTCATTGTGACCTTTCCATGACTCAAAAGAGTTTTTGTTGAGAATTCCATTGTGATTCTAATGAGTTTTCTTTTTCAGGTAACTTGTTTCTTTTCTCTAACAACTTTTAATAGTCTTTTTTATGTTGAATTCCTGGAATCTTGATTATAAGACGTTTTGGCATATTTTTTTCTGCTCATGGTTATTTGAGGTACTACATGCCTTACTTATCAACATGTCAAATTATGTTTGTGTGCTTAGAAAGTTTCACATTTGTTTCCATGAATAAATTTTGTGTACTTATTTATCTTCTGACTTTTTATTGATTCTAATTAATCTTGTATTATTTTCCTTTGCACCCTCTAGCAGCAATGGGATTGATTTTTGGTGGTCCCTTTTTATGTTTAAGAAGTCTTTCATTTGATGATTGCCAACACAATGCTGTCTTCTACATCTGATATTTTATCTTCACATTGGTTGATTATACTGTGTCTATATGTATCTGTATTGTGGCATCCAGTTCTTTCCCATATTGGTCATTCACAGTTTCCTTTTCTTTCCTAGTTTCGTCTAAATTTTTTTAAAAAATCTATATCCACCATAGTTTAACAAACAATTTATTTCATTATGGCCATCATGTCTTTAATTATCTGTATAATTAGTTCTGCTTCAGTTTGGTCAAAAGAGATTTTCACCTGTTTTGTTATTCACATCTGTTCTGTTGGGAAGGTTTTGATTTCTTCTACCTCACCTTGTCTTGGGTGAATTGGGAATGTTGAGTTGATTCTTGCTTTCATGTTTTCTCATTTTTTACTTTTTTTGGTTTATGTATTTTCTGTGTTGAGGGTTAGGGTTAAGGTTAGTGGTAATTAGCTTTATTATAATTTTTGAGATGTCTTAAGTAAGTAAATACTTCTTGGCATAGCTGGTGTTTCTCCTTTTAGTCTGTCCCAGGGTCCTTGTTCCTCTTTTCATTAGCAAGGAAAGATTTTAGTCTCTTGGCCCTGGCACCAAGTTTTTTGGTACTGACTTGTACTATTTTTCATGCCCCCCCCAGACAATGGTGGTATTTGTATATGTAATGGTTCATTGATTGTGTCAATTTTAGGCATTTAGAAGCTTGACTAAATCAGCTTAGTATTTCTACATCCTAAGGTGTAGAAGAAACACTAGGTTGGCTCATTGCCTGGATATAATAAAAAGGAAGGAAGACGGATGGGTGAGATTTCATTATTTGGAGGATTTCCAGTGTTTGCCTTCACCTTGGATGTTGTCTTCTGGATTCCAGTGCACACTCTCCAGCTTCTGCCTTGAATCCTTCAGACTTTGGGCATAGACTCTTCAGCCTTCCATTGCATAACCATCAACCTGCTGGTGCAGACTTGTATGGGACACTGCAGTGGATTCCAGAACTTGGGTTGAATCCTTCAACCTGTGGTGTTCAGACACCTTCTGAATTCTTCCTCATCCCAGTCTGTGGCTGACAATCATAAGCCAATCTTATAATTTCATTTAACATTTGTATATCTTGTGTTACATCTGTTTCCCCTAGTAAAACCCTGACTAATATGTATTTTGGAACCATGAGTGGCCCTAGAGAAACAGAATTATAATAATGGCATTTTTTAATGGTGTCAGTGGTTCCTGGAGTTGGCTCCACAATTTGGTGAGACCTAGAGATGTTCTCTCCTTATACTTCTATGGGATACACTGGTAATCCTTGTCATGAATCATTTAAACTAATATGCTGCATACATCTATTTGATTATCCTAATTCACCACTTGTGAGATGTCACTAATTTAGTGAGTCTTTACATGAAAATTTTAAGTACCTTTGGCAGAGTAGGAAATATAATGATGCTGGATTGTTGGTCTTAGTGTCTCTGGACAAACTAGTAAAGCAAAATTTCCATCTCCAGACACAGATAAGAAATTTAAAAGTTTCTGCATCCTGAATGAAAATATCCTTTCTTTTAGGTGCAAGGATGAGCTTGCAGAAACCCAAACACATTCCCTCATAATTTGATTGGTTGAACTACAACATAAATTTAATGCTCAGCTTTGAAGGGTACCTGGAGCAAAAGTGAGGGCACTGATTGGAAAAGAATGGGATCATATAAATTGGAACAGAGATCTGTGGAAGAATCCTGAGGAAGTTAAGGATACTGAGTTTCTAGATTCTAATGAAATTATTTTGCCAAAGGATGAGATTACTCCACCTACAGTGGGAGAGACACTGTCAACTCTACTCCCTGTGGTGTTGGATCCACCTAGTATGCCTGGGGAAGATAATGTTGTGTTAACTAAGCTAACTAAACTAAGGATGATGCTTGACACTCCTCAGAACCCATCCTTACCACCCATTTTTGCCTTCAGCCCCATAACCAGGCTCGAATCACAGAAGGCCCCTAGTGTTGAAATAGATTGTGTGACCCATGAGGAGGCCCACTATACTCCCAAAGAACTTCTTGAGTTTTCTAACTCTTATAAGTAGAGACCTAATGAGCAAGCATGGGAATTGATTTGGAAAGGTGTTGAGAGACTGGCCAAAATGATAGCTCCTGTGTGCTGAAAAGTATATTGGAGACTCTGAAGGGGGTGTGCTTTCCTCCTTTCACTCTTGTCACTTGTGGCCACCATGAGCAATTGCCCCTTAGCTATGCCACCCTGCCTTGCAAACAGCTCAGTATGGACTGAGACCTCCACAAACTGTAACCTAAATAAACCTTTCCTTTCTTCATTTTAGGCATCAAGTATTTTGTCCCAGCAATGAGAGAAAAGTAACCAAGATATTATATAAGGAAGATCAGTTGATCATAAGTACTATGACAGCTTGCCTAATGTAGTACAATCAATAAAAGCAATAGCATCAAATATAGAATGGAAAATTACAAACAGTGATGATGAATAATTTGTCACCTTTAACCTTAGCTACAAGATTAATGGTTATATACAAATGTAAGACCAATTAGGAAATTATTTATAATAAATATTCATTCAATGGGACAATTTTACCTCAAGGGGAGAAAATTTAAAAAGAAGAAAAATGGAGAAATGAAGAAAAGACATTAGAAGCAAGGTTGAAGGACAATGTGTCACCTTTCTGCAAGGTCCATGATAATTTTCTCTGTATCATTCCAATAGCAGTGTATGTGCTACTGAAGCAAGCACAAGACTGAGGGGCAATGGAGGATTATCCAAACCTCAGGAAAGTAGACAAGATGGAAGAGAATGGAAGAAAGAGAACACAAAAGCAGGACAAAACAGAAAAAATTAAAACTAAAAACAATAGTCACACTTAAAAAAAAAACAAAAATAGGAATAAAAATGTAGCTAATAAACAAAACATTTTATAAAATACCAATGAGAAAAAAGAAAAAAAATTGTCTGTGATTTCAATCTTGTGGTTATTACCTTTGGTATACATTTCTTTGGCACTGTTCAATTCAAGCCCAACTCTGCTCTCTCTGGTAAACAAGAGAGGCAGTCAGATCTCAGATCTGTGTTAGATAATCCCGGAAGCAGGGAGTAGGAAAAAGTCTGTGTGTCATTTTGGGAATTTCAACTCCAGAGGTAATTCATCCTGAAGCTGGCCTCTGGTCATGAGGGCATAGTCTGAGCTGTTTAGTTTAAAACACCCTTGACCACAGCCTGATCACAGCACGCTGATCATGAGTGTCCCTCCAGTATGTCTGTCAGCCAGTCACTATGAAAGTCTAACACTGGAAACCATGAGATGAAGCCAACCCTGTGGCTTCTTGAGTTCCAGACTCAGTTGTCCCTTCCCTAAAATGGTGTCCAGCCAGGTACCTTCTCCAGGAAGTATAGCCAATGAGTGGACTGGAGTCACTCACCAATTATTGTAGTACCCAGCATTCACTGCTCTGCCCAAGTAGCATGCTTCTCTCAGAAGACTTCTGGAGTTGCCTAACTTTACCATGTCTCTAAATTTTATCCTCCTTTCTCTTGCAATGATCCAGGAATAGATTTATAAATGACAGATTGTTCTTTCCATTTTCTGTATTGTGTTCTGCTCTTTATTTTCTCAGTATGCTCCAATTTTCTTTTTAGATGCTTCTGGGTCCAAGGGATTCACATTTCTCTTGTTCGTCACCAAGTTGTTATTTTCCAGTGTGGATTCCAAATTTTGGAAGGCTGATTTATTGTGGCTTACCATTCTGCCATCTTCCCAGAAGTCTGTGGTGTTTTCTTAAGTCACTCTTCTTCATCTTTTAGGTCCAAGTTTAATGCCACTTTTTCTCAAAGTTTCTTTTCATCTACAGGTGAAATTAAGTGACTGTGGCATAAAATTTCAAAACTCTTTCCATTATATTGTTAACACTCCATATTTAATGATTTCAATAAATATGATCCCTAAAGAGAAATTTTATAAATTTAAAAACTCTGGCTATTTTGTTCAACACCATTTATGCTCTACCTTACATGCTGCCATGCACATAGATACTAAAAAGCTTTTCATAAGGTCCAACACTCATTCATGACAAGAACCTTACAGAAAATTGGAATAGATGGTCTTTACCTCAATAGGATAAAGGCCATTTATGATAGACCAACATCCAGCATCATATTAAATGGTCAACAAAAACTCAAAGCTTATACCTTAAAATCAGGCACAAGACAAGGATGTCTTTTATCACCGCTCCTATTCAACATAGCACTAGAAACACTATCCAGAGCAATTAAACAAGAGAGAGAAACAAATGGAGTAAAGATAGGAAAAGAAGTTAAACTATCATTATTTGCAGATGACATGAAACTTTACATAGAAGACCCCAAAACTCCACTGAAAGACTCCTAGATATAATAAGTAAATTCAGCACTGTGGCTGGATACAAAGTCAATATTCATAGCATTCTTACACACTAAGAAAAAAATCACTGAGAAAGAAATAAGAGAAGCCACACCATTCACATTAGCATCCAAAAAAAAAAAAGAAAAAAGAAATACTTAGGAATTAATCTCACCCAAGAAGTAAAAGTTCTATACAGGGGAAATTATAATATCCTGAAAAAAGAAATTGAAGAGGATCTCAGGAAATGGAAAGACATCCTTTGTTCATGGATAGGAAGAATAAATATTGTGAAAGTGGCCACTCTCCCAAAACTGTTATACAGATTAAATGCAATCCCAATGAAAATAACACTAGCATACCTCATAGATCTAGAGAAATCACTCCTAAAATTCTTCTGGAACCAGAAGAGATCTAGAATAGCAAAGGCAATTCTAAGCAGCAAAAGCAGGGAAGAAAGCATCACAATCCCTGACTTGAAGTTATACTACAAAGCTACTGTAATAAAATCAACATGATACTGGAATAAAAACAGATTTGAAGATCAATGGAAAAGATTAGAATATACAACCACAAGTATAAACACACTCAACCACCTTATCTTTGATAAAGGGGCCAAACATATTCACTGGAAAAAGACAGTCTCTTTAATAAATGGTGCTGGAAAACCTGGCTCTCCGTATGTTGAAAACTGAAACTAGACCCATGCCTATCACCATGTACTTTGATCACCATGGATCAAAGATCTAAATATTAAAACAGAAACACTAAATCTGTTGGAACACAAATGAGGTTAAAAATGTTGAAGACATAGGGGTAGGTAGAGAATTCATGAATAGGAATCAAACTGCATGGGAAATACTTCCCAGAATCAATAACTGGGATCATGTGTTATTAAAGAGTTTCTGCATGTTGAAAGAAATATCTAGCATAGTGAAAAGAAAACCCACAAACTGAGAAAAATATCTTAGTGAACTGTCCCTCAGACGAAGGACTTCTGTCTAAAACATATAAGAAATTGAACAAAATCAGACCCCCAAAATTCAAAGACCCAATCCAAAAATGGGCATCCAAGATGAATATACAGTTCTCAGATGAAGAAATACAAATGTCAAATAAACAAATTTAAAAAAAGGTTCATCATCTTTAGAGAAATGCAAATTAAAACAACACTGAGATTCCATCTCCAGAGAGAATGGCCAGTATCAAGAAAACTATCAACAATAAATGCTGGAGAGGCTGTCCTGCACTGTTGGTGGGAGTGTAGACTGGTGCAAATATTGTGGAGGTCAGTCTGGAGATTCCTCAAAAACCTGGGAAGTCCCATTTGACCCAACTGTTCCACTTCTAGGCATCCCAGAAAAATTGAGAACATGATTCCACAGTGATATATGTATACCCATGTTTATAGCAGCACAATTTGTAATAGCCAGATCTTGGAAACAACCTAAGTGTCCATCAACTGAGGAGTGGATAAAAAAGTTGTGGTATTTTTATACAATGGAGTACTACTCAGCTATAAAGAATGATCACATTGAGATATTTATAAATAAATGGATTCAACTTGAGACCATACTCCTAAGAGAAATAAATCAAACTCACATGTATAAATACCATATAGTCTTCCTAGTGTAAGACATGCTAAGAGTACATAAGATTTTATGGTAATCACGATCCTCCATTATATTGCTTTGAAGCCTTATGTTTTCATTCATTAGTTGGAATGGTTTTATTCTTTGTTGTTTGATTTTATTTTGTGTGATGGTATGAACAGCTATGTTGAAGAAAAAAGACATTATGGTAGCCATTGATGATTTAATATCATCTTGCTTTAAAGTCCTACCATGCTTTTTTTTTCTTCTGTTTCATTGGTTCTATCATGTTGTGTCTTATTGGATTTTAATATGTGTAAGAGTATAAACAAATTTTTTATGGAAAATGAGATAATAGAGTAGACATTGTTCATGTTCTGTTAATTGGTTCTCAATGCCCTGTAATATTTTCATTCTCTTGAATGGTTTTATACAACTTTGTTATGTGTGATACTACTGTATGTGAAGGTATGCTCCACTATTTTAAAGAAAGAGACATTGCAGAAGCTACTGTTAAATACCAGATTGTCTTTTGGCGAAGTGCTGTGTTGCTTACATTGTTCCATTCTGATCTGCTTTCTTCTGTCCTCTTTTGTTTTTATCTCTTTAAAACAATAAAAAAATTTAGTTTTCTCAATAAATAAACACTTCACTTTGAACTTGTGTCTAGAAAACAGAAAAAGAGAAGGTTAAGTGCATTGTTCAGTTATAAGAATATCTATGTCAACAAATTGATATCTCTAACACTGATAATAATCACTCAGGAACAATTGAAAAATATATGAAACATTTAAAGTTAATTTTTTCTAGGCAAATTATTGATTTATTTAAGATAAAAATACACGGAAAAAATCAAAAATCAAAAGAGACAAACACAACAACAATAAACCCAAAGCAATAAGAGTATAAGTTTTCAAACAAGGTGATACAAAGTTTTAAATGGTTGTAATATTGCATATTGTTACCTACTAAAGAGTTGCTTAGATTACCAGATAGAGACATGTAAAATTTATCTAATCATATGAGTATTAACTGTTTTTTCCAAGAACTAATACCATTGGTAGTATAGTCATCTTAGCTATTATATATATATATATATATATATATATATATATACACACACACACAAATTTATGACTTTTTTCTTTTCCTTTCCTTCTTTTCTCATTTCTCTTTTCCCAATTACTTTTTATTTTTGAGCAATTTCTTATCCTTACACAATATTTATCACAGATTTTGGATTATGTTTACTCTTAAAATTGTCTTATACTAGGGAGACAATATAATATTTATACATGTGAGGTTGATTTATTTCACTTATAAGTATGGTCTCAAGTCATGTCTATTTACTTATAAAAGTCTCAATACAATCTTTCATTATGGCTGAGTAGTACTCCATTGTATAAAAATACCACATCTTTTTTTATCTACTTGTTGATTGATGTGCACTTAGGTTGTTTCCAAGATCTGGCCATTATAAATCATGCTGCTATAAACATGGATGCTCATATATCACTGTGTTATGATGTTTTCAGTTCTTCTGGGAAAATGCCCAGAAGTGTGATAGCTAGGTCAAATGGACCCTCTAATTGTAGCTTTTTGAGGAATCTCCACATTGATTTCCGTAGTAGTTGAACCAGCCTACACTCCCACCAACAGAGGAGAAGCGTTCCTTTTGCCCCCACAAGTACTCCAGCATTTGTTATTGGTTGATTTCTTGATCTCCACCATTCTTTCTGGAATGAGATGGAATCTAAGTGTTGTTTTAT